GAGACTAACAAATTTATTAATTAATAAATTTGTTAGTCTCTAAGGTGCCACAAGTACTCCTGTTCTTTTTGCGGATACAGACTAACACGGCTGCTACTCTGAAATCTATGATTTCATGATCACTTTCACCCAGGCTGCCTTCTACTTTCAAATTCTCAACGAGTTCCTCCCTATTTGTTAAAATCAAGTCTAGAACAGCTTCCCCCTTAGTAGCTTTTTCAACCTTCTGAAATAAAAAGTTGTCTGCAATGCAGTCCAAGAATTTGTTGGATAGTCTGTGCCCCGCTGTGTTATTTTCCCAACATATATCCGGATAGTTGAAGTCCCCCATCACCACCAAATCTTGGGCTTTGGATGATTTTGTTAGTTGCTTAAAAACGGCCTCATCCACCTCTTCCACCTGGTTAGGTGGCCTGTAGTAGACTCCTAGCATGATATCTCCCTTGTTTTTTACCCCTTTTAGCCTAATCCAGAGACTCTCAACACTTCCGTCTCCTATGTCCATCTCTACCTCAGTCCAAGTGTGTACATTTTTAATATATAAGGCAACACCTCCTCCCTTTTTCCCCTGTCTATCCTTCCTGAGCAAGCTGTACCCATCCACACCAACATTCCAATCATGTGTATTATCCCACCAAGTTTCAGTGATGCCAACAATGTCATAGTTGTATTTATTTATAGCACTTCCAGTTCTTCCTGCTTATTCCCCATACTTCTCGCATTTGTATATAGGCATCTAAGATACTGGTTTGATCTTTCCTCCCAGTTTTGTCCTGACCCTCCTTTCTCTCTGCCAATATAGCCCACACTCCCTCTCGTTTCCGACCCATCTCCCAGGTCTCCATGTTCCCCACTTACCTGTGGGCTTTGCTCACCTGTCCCCGTCGAACCTCGTTTAAAGCCCTCCTCACTAGGTTAGCCAGTCTGTGTCCAAATAGGGTCTTTCCCCTCCTCGAAAGGTGAATGCCTTTGTCAACATACTGAAGCTCAGAGCAGTTTGTTACACTCGCCAATAGTTCCCACCACACATCAAGGGCCACCCAATCAGAATAATGCTAGACAACAGAGCAGCAATACAATGCATCTCTCTGGGGACCACTCTGGACTTCCCCCAGCTAGACATGTCACATCCTCACCATGATGAACCCACCCAGTGAGCTGCCTGCTCACCTATCACGATTCATCCCATGCCAGCTACCAAAGCCTTCCTATGCAAACCTTCCTGCCACCCCACCAAAACCATCCCCTGCACTGGCCCCTCCACCTCTCTCCCACCCTCTACAGTTGTTCCAAGCTTTTCACTTTGAAAATCTCTTCTACCTCTTCATATTTAATCTTGACATAATTCAGACTAAATCTCTACAAAGGAACTAGACCTTGAAGGGTCTGACCAGCCTTCACCTCCTACTGAAAGTCAGGGAGATAAGGCTTCTCCATTTCTCACAGGATTGAATCCAATCGTGCACTACTCAGGTCAACAGGAATGTTGTCAACAGGAGCAGCATGAAGCCCTCAGAACTCACTTAGCTAGCAAAAGCCCAGTTATCAGTTACCACAGGAAGCAATGCTTACAGCTCTGAACAATAGCTGTTGCCCAGCAACAGAAACACTTTTTTCCACATCAGTTTTGCTTTCCTGGCGTTTAATCATCTGTTTCTCCTCTCAAAAACACCTGAGGAAGGCAGGAATCCAGAGCATTTGAGTTTCGGACAGAAAAGATGATGGTCAAAAGTAAGGACAGCTCTGTCTTGAAGTCCTTGGTAAGTCATGTGCCAGAGCTGCAATGCTAATCCATAATAAATAGACAAAGAATGTCAATTACTGGAATATAGAAGGAGGAGCTTCATATAACGGCTTTGGCCACATCTGACTTGTTGTGATCCCTTTTTCCCATTGAGTGTCTGTGTCTCCTGATTTGTCCCCATGACTCCCAGAAGTCAAAAAGAGAAACAAAAACAATTCAGCACTGGAGAAAATAATGCAAACATCCAAAACACAATTGAAAGTTCAATTTCACGTTTAGCAAAATAGTTTAGATGCAGTTGAGAATGAAGGGGTATGGCAGTGTTTCATCTGGCTCATACTACTGTGTAAATCTAATGTAAAATGTTATTTTGTATCTAGGCTAAAAAATCAGTTGATTCCCACTTGAGTACACTGGCAGATTTTGCAATAGAGATGTTTGACGTTCTTGATGAAATCAACTATCAGTCTTATAACGACTTTGTCCTCCGAGTTGGTAAGTCATGTATCTAGAGTTAGCCTATAAAACGTAGCATTGCTGTTGGCTGCCTTCCCCATTTTATCTTAAGAGGTTCAGTAGTAGAGAATTGCCCATATATTTTAATGAAAATTGCTCATATTCATGCTCTTGAGTGAAACTTGGAGCCAGAAGAGTCTAGATCAATGGCCATTTTATCATTAGCATGTTTGCACAACTGCCATTAATTTAAGGGGAGTTACACAGGCAGAAGGTGGGAATGAAAGCATCAAGATTAAGGGTGCTAGGCTTTATGTCCAGGACCAATTCCAGTTTGGTTAGTTACGTGATGCTTAGCTAAAATTGTTTTAGAGTTTCAATTGCATACGGTTAGCTTTCATTCCCTGTCATACTCTGTTCTCTAATATTGCTGTGCCTTGTTAAACTGCTGCAGAATTCCACTCCAGAGCTAGCTGTACTTCACTGGTGTGTGTACATGTTTTGTGTGCATATATAGTTTGTAAAATGCTTTGGAATCTTTGAGACCTTTCTTATGTTATCAAAAGGTTTCTTGCTTTTAGCTCATTTCCTCTCCTAGTTGCTGCAGCTTCTGCTTCCTCCAACAAATCAACCCATCCCCTGCTTCCTTCTTTAGCCCTTGCATGCCACACACACATTTCTCTCCTCCACATGAAGAATTGCACTGTGATCCTCACCCCTGGAAGCCAGTTCCCTTCTGCAGCCTTCATTGCTTCAGTGCCATCCCTCCTTCCAGCCCTTCCCCAACGATAACTCCACGGCATTCTCATCTCAGTGAAATCCTCTAATTTGACATGCTTCCCCCAGCCTCACCCCTTTTGTTTCCTCGCTCATTGGTTGAATTGTGCGCTAAAACTGGCGTGGATCAGTTGTGCACTTAAAGTGGAGTGGATACACTAGCAGCCAAGTGGTGAAAGTGGTCATAGACCACGACATCAATAGTGAGGAGAGGCGAGTCATGCTACAGTCCTGAACTCCCCCACCGCCCAGCAACTGGAAGCTTTCCTCCATCACTCGTACAATGCCTTCCTCCAAAGTGTCCTTAGAAGACCACAGTGTGGCTGGCCATGCACAAGTGTGCAAGGGACAGACAGAGCACCACGATCCCTTTCCCCACTTAACTTGTGCAACTTGTCATGGGGAAGCCACAATTCTCATCCTTGCACAGGGCCTGAGGCCATTAGAACCAACAGCTGTGCAAGAAACCGCAAAAGGCAGTAGGGTCATGCCGCTCCCCACTTCCACACTAGCTGGTGAAATCAGCATAGGGCCTGGGAGCTAATACTGTGCCTCCAAAAAGGAAATGTATGTGCCAGTTCTGAGCGCTTCTCCCCTGATAGCACTCCCAGGGGAGCCTTTGTGCCTCTGCATGCAGAATATATCCCTAGTCTAGTGCTGGTATCAGAATTTCTCATGTGACCTGCTTCCCCCTGCCCCAACTCCTGATGTTTCCCAGCCTAATGGCGGTGCCTGGTCGGTGCACTCCCGCTTAGGAGGCTGTCTCTTAAAAAGCACAGTAGAGCCCAAAAGAAGTAATCAAGGGTCAATAACCTCTTGCCATGACATGTGCTACTAAACAGCTGATACATTTTATGCCAGAGGTGATTCTTCCTCTCCTCCTCCTCCTCCCCCCAGGAAGATTGAAATTGAGAATTTCCCTCATGAGATTAGAACAGTTTTTTTTAATTTGAGTTAAAATAATGTTACATTTCAGGTGAGCTCTGTGTGCCTGTATAGTTCAATTTCTAACACTCTTCGGGATCCTGTGTGTTGAAAAGCTCTAATGTAAGATGATGCTATTGTGTACGATGACAGGTAAAAACACTGAAGTCATTTATGGCGAAACAGTTGGAAAGAGTGACTGTTTCTCTTAGATCTATATCACAGCACTTGAAGCAGCAACAACAAAATAAAAGCCATTGTTCTGATTTTAGGTATTAATGTTGGGCCTGTAGTGGCAGGAGTTATTGGGGCCAGAAGACCACAATACGATATCTGGGGCAACACTGTAAACGTTGCCAGCAGAATGGACAGTACTGGAGTGCAGGGTAAAATTCAGGTGAGTACATTCCAATCACTCTATATCAGTTTGAAGTTCCTGTTTATTAACAATCCTATGATTACATTTTCAAGGCTGCTTAGAAAGCTCAGCCTCAATCTCTTCATGTTTCTTATGAAGGTGGCAACATCCCCAAGGTGATTCAGGTGCCTGCTGTGTAGTTATTCTTCTGTTATCTGCTCCACCACTTTGAAGTGGTGAAATCAAAGGATCAACAAACCACAAAGAGAGGTTTCCCCTTCAAATTCCTGCTGTGCTGTATTGCACTCCGTTGGATTATAGGCCTGAATCTGCAGTCTTTACGCAGGCTAGTCACCCCCAAACTTTCACTTCACTCAGGGGAATTTTGCCTGAATAAGGACTACAGGATAAGGACCTATATCAAATTGTATTTAGTCACATCTTGTATAGCTTGTGGAATCTTTCTTGATGAAAGGCGCCGCACGCTTGTGAAATATTATTAATCTTCGAGATTGTCCTGAAACAAAGCTGCAGCTCCCAGCACAGACTGAACTTTGGGGACACCTGTATCTGAACTTCACATTTGGCCAAAATCTCTGTTGCTGTAAAGTAGCTTCAATGATGCTGTGCTAGCTTGCACCACCGGAGAATTAGACCCTGTGTTTCTAAGGAGAGAATCAAAACCCCAGCTCTGAACGCCCCGGAACTTTGGAGATCTGAAATTTGCTCCTTAGGGCCCATCTCATTATTCATTATTATAATTATTACCACCAAAGCACGTACCAGGGGAAACCAAAACCAATAGTTACTCATTCATTCCATGGAGCATCTTTCATCACAGTTAAAGGAAGTGCCATAGAGAAGTATAATTCTATTTTCTTACTCTAGGATTAACCCTAGCTAATTGATAGGAATGGTAAAATATAATACTGGCTCTTCTTACCCACAGGTGACAGAAGAAGTTCAGCGGATATTAAAGAGGTGCACTTACGAGTTTGAGTGCCGAGGTAAAGTCAGTGTAAAGGGAAAAGGCGAAATGTTGACCTATTTTCTTGAAGGAAAGGCCAATGGAAATAATTCACAACCACGGTCTTTAAACTTAGAGCGGAAAATGTACTCCTACGGGAGAACAAACGTTCAAACCAAACTGGGCACCAGTTGTCCGTCAGTGTCCTCAGTCGCCAGCTTTACTGTAAAAGCTGGGCTTGGAGCACTTCAAGCATCAACAACCCACACAAATCAAACATTACATTACCTTCCTTCTGTGCCAGCTGTGAAAGAAGCATAGAGCAGAGAAAATTTGGTTACGGCATTCGCAGTGAACCCAGAGAGCAGAGGTTGCCTGAATTTTCACCAGGAGGTCAAGGATCATAGGCCATGGCATCAACCAAGGATCACTACAACCCAACCAAAGAGAACTTGGGAACTGCATAAACGAACTCTTGGAATGGAACAAATAAGGGCTAGCAATTCTGTTAGGAAAAGTCCAAACCCAATTTTTTGGAAATAGGGAATATTTTCTTGGCATTTTTAAAGGATAAATGCTATAATTGAAAAAAGCGTACACGTGACACTGTATTTGTGTGTGTATATGTATATATTAAATCTATATATGCACATATACAAACACTCCTATATAGAGAGAGATAATAGAGATTTATATATATATAAAATATGTATTTATTTACACACCCACCTGCAATGGCATAAGGGAGAGATTTCTCTTACCACCATATTCAGTATTGTTGGGTCTGAGGTTAGTAAAACTGCTATTAGGAAAGGAGGGTGAGATGATTGAAAATTATCTGGGGCTATAGCAAGCGTTATGGAAACCTTGCTCCACTGCTTGAAATAAGGAAAAAAGAATTCGTCAGCGACTGGTAAATGAAGGCTGAATTAAAGCCAACTGCTAAATTGAGGTATCTTTTAAGTTTTATTTGCATGTTCAGTAGCTTTGAATGCTTTCCAGTTACAATTACAGCACAATGCTATGAGCTAGACAAGAGACAGCGCTTAGGAATTTGACCAGATACTAATAAATGTTCTTTCCATTGACAAAGAAGGTTGCTAAAACACTGTCTTTCTGTAGGACATTTTGGCCTTGCGTGAGACAGAGGTGCCATCCTGCAAGCACAGCAATATGCTTATGCAATATAGAAACAATCTTTCCTGTTTTATGCGCATTGCCAATTGTATTGAAGGTAGAGAACAGTGGGACATTCTCTTTATGCAGTAGCAGACTTTCACTGAAAGCACAGATTTTCTTGCTCAGTGAGGATTTAGGCCTGTTTGAACCGTTCAAAGGGCTGACCAGTATCAGTTACAAATGTGCTGTTAGTATTGTTATATTTGTACATTTGCCAACATTTTTTTAAAAAAATTGATGCCACCGTTTTATTATATATCCTAATTCAACACCAGGCTTGTTCTTCTTAGTTACACAATTACAGAAAGTATATACCTATTTTTGAAGATAGGACTCTGAAAGGCAAGCACATCAAACTTTCTCCAAATGACGATCACGTTGGTAAACTTCCCCTGAGTTTGAGGGCTACTCTTAATTTGCATAAAAGGGAACATATTTCAGCCGCTCTTATGATCTCTAATAAACAGATGCAGTCCACAAATATTACCTGTCCCAGTATACAGTGTTTCATCTTGAGTCAAGATCATGTGGAATGCACTTATGTATTAAAGATGAGGACAGTGGGTCATCTTGCAGAGAGGCCTAGGCCACAGGTAGTCCAGGGATTGCTGCCACGCAACACTCCAAGGTACAGCCAGCACACACAAGTGAAATACACGTTGCCACTGGGAGAGGCTAGAAGCTAGTTTTGTTTAAAAAAATATTTTTAAATGTGTAGCATGTACAACAGAACAAAACTGTTGTATTTGCTGTACAAGTTTCCTACTATCTAATGCACACGTTAGTTGCACAGTTCCCATCTCAGTGCAGAAGTTTGTTATTGACTTCAGTAGGAACAGGATCGGGTTTTAAATTCTGACTGTGACTCTGATACTAGAGGCTTTTTTTTTTTTGGAGTAGGCTTTTGTTATGGATAAGTCTGTCTATCATCTTATACCACACCCATTACTGTGGTATCCAAGTTCTATAGGCCACTTCTTTTATAAACTGCCCATCCATATGCCAGTGTGCTTGCAATGATCTTTGCATTCACCCAAGAGTTCTGAAGGAACTCAAATATGAAATTGCAGAGCTACTAACTTGTATGTAACCTATCACTGAAATCACTCTGTACCAGATGACTGGAAGGTAGCTAATCTAATGCCAATTTTTAAAGAGGACTTCAGAGTAGATTCTGGCAATTACAGGCCAGTGAGCCTAACTTCAGTACCAGGCAAATTGGTAGAAACTGTAGTAAAGAACAAAAACACATAGAAAAACACAATTTGTTTGGGGAAGAGTCAACATGGCTTTTGTAAAGGGAAATCATGCCTCACTAATCTATTAGAATTTATTGGGAGAGTCAACAAGTATGTGATAAGAGTGATCCAGTCAATATCATGTACTTGGATTGTCAGGAAGCCTTTGACAAGGTCCCTCACCATAGGCTCTTAAGGAAACTAAGTAACCACAGGATAAGAGGGAAGGTCCTCTCGTGGATCAGTAACTGGTTGCAAGATAGGAAACAAAGAGTAGGAATAAATAGTGAGTTTTCACAATGGAGCGAAGTGAACAGTGGGGTCCCCCAGCCATCTGTACTGGGACCTGTGCTGTTCAACATATTTATTAATAATCTGGAAAAGGGGGTGAATAATGAAGTTTCACGGTTTGCAGATGACACAAAATTATTCAAGATAGTTAAGTCCAAAGCAGACTGAGGAATTGCAAAGAGATCTCCAAAGCTGGGTGACTGGGCAACAAAATGGCAGATTAAATTTAGTGTTGCTAAATGCAACATAACGCACCTTGAAAAAATAATCCCAGCTGTACATATATAATGATGGGTTCTAAATTAGCTGTTCCCACCCAAGAAAGATCTCGGAATTACTTTGGATAGTTCTCTGAAAACTCCTGCTCAATGTGCAGCAGCAATCAAAAAGACTAATTATATCCTAGCAACTATTAGGAAGGGGATAAGAAAATATCATAATGCCACTATATAAAACCACAGTATGCCCACACCTTGAATACTGTGTCCAGTTCTAGTCGCCCCATCTCCCAAAGGATATAGTGGAACTGGAAAAGATTTCAGAGAAGGGCAACAAAGATTAACGGCTTCCATATGAGAAAAACGAAAAAGATTGGGGCTGTTCATCTTAGAAGAGAAATGACTAAGTGGGGATATGATAGAAGTCTATAAAATCATGAATGGTGTGGAAAAAAACAAAAACCAGGGGTCACCTGATAAAATTAGTAGGCAGCAGGTTTAATGCAAAGAAAAGGAAGTAGTTTTTCACACATTGCTCAACTAATCTGTGGAACACATTGTCATGGGATGTTGTGATGTCAAAAAGCATAACTGGGTTAAAAAAATAACTGGGTAACTTCAGGGAGGATAGGTCTGTCGATGGCTATTAACCGGGATGGTCAGGGACGCCAACCCTAAATCTCTGACTGCCAGAAGCTGGCAGTGGAAGATGGGTGGATCACTCCACAATTTCCCATTCTGTACACCCCCCTAAACCTCTGCCATGGACCACTCTTGGAGACAGGATACTGGGCCTGCCCACTATAGGAGCTCTTTGGTTCTTATTTTAAAGGGTTTTTAATGGGGTCTCTTTATGGACAAATGTTGTCCCAACAGTTGCAGAGTGTGGGAGTAAACATGATGAAGTTTGTTTTCAGCTTTCCATGTAGCCAAAACAATGCTATATTCTGTATCCTGGATTTGCAGACATCATTTTATTCATTTCTGTAGCGATTTTCAGTGTGTCAGTACAGAGATTGAAAGGCTAGATTTGCGGTTAAAGCACTGAACTAGATTGATCTGATTCAATTCCAGGCTCCACCACAGATTTCCTGTGTGACCTTGGCCTAGTCACTTCATCTCTGTGTAGTTCTGTCTGTAGATTGTGGATAATAATAGTTCCCCGCCTCACAAGGGTGTTGCTGGGAATAAAATCATTAATTCACATACTATGATGATGATGGCCTTCTAAGTAAACAGATCACACACATTAGCCAGAACAAAAAATTGCATAATTTAAATTGAAGCAAACTGTATTAATGCAACATTGAGATTGTATTGTTCAAATAAAAAGTTGTCAGGAAGGGATGAGGTTCCAAAGCTATGAGAACTTGGTCACATTGCATATCCTGTATGGTTTATAATATGCATTTTTATGAAGTAAACTAACCTATGTTAAGCTAGACATTTAACCAAAATGGAAAATTCTGTATAGGTGCAATACCATCCGTTAACTTATGCACTTACTGACGTTGTGAGTTAAACCATACAGTTAGGGTCATTCATTCCTACTACAATTCCAGTTATGTCAAATTAAAACAATTTTTTTTTCATTTATTATTACTTTTAGTAGTAAAATTACTGTAGCACCAGGAGCCCCAGTCACAGACCAGGACTCCATTGCGTCCGGTGCTGTAGAAACAGAACAATAAGCCGGTCTCTGGCCCCAAAAACTTACAATCTAAATAATTGTCTAGGATGTTTAAAAGCAAGAAATATGAAGGGGAAATGGCCTTCGCATCTAATGTCACTGAGGTGATAGAGTGAGGAAGAGTGAATTCCTCCCTTTGCTGTTGTTGTAGTTGGGGGCAATTCTGCAACGCTGGTTTAACAAGGCAGCAGTACATCGGTTTACATTGTGATGGCTGCATCTTCCCAATGGAAAAAACAGAGGGTTTAAAAATTAAAACAGAGTTACAATAGAAACTGTTTTGCAGCCATTACAGCAGGACTACTAGGTACCCACTCTACTAATGTTGTATTAAAAGTGTATTTTTGCCTTTCTGCTCTCATTTCCTATTTGTCTGACTTTCCCAGTTTAATTTCTCTCTGTACATTTTTGTATCCTCTTTCAAATGACATATTTCTGTAGTCTCTCCACCCTTTTACGTTCCCATGTATGCCTTTTAGCAAGCTTTATGCAGGAAAGATAATAGCAGTAATAACTGTGCTCAGCCCACAAAAGCATGTGATTCTTGACAAATTTAAGAAATGTCCTTACGTTTCTTTGTGGCAACCATCTGAAGATAATAACTGGCCTGATCCAAAGGCCATGGAAGTAAATATAAAGCTTCCCATTGATTTCAGTGGGTTTTGGATCAGGGTGCATTTCACCTATATTAGATTTATTATTTTTTCAATTCATGCTCTGAGGTTTTGCACTGGATGATCTTGCTGTAGCCCCATTAAGGGGTCAGTGCTGCCCTTTGATACACATATGTACTTCCCATTTGAATTAAGGGAAGTTACATGGACATATCATGGGCAGAATAGTGTCCTAAGTTTACATTTATTCTTGTGTAGCAGTTGGCTTGAACACTTAACTGGGAGGAGCCCTACAATAAACTGGTGCCAGTTTTGGCAAGATGTCGTTAATGTCTGTCAATGCAAGCACAATATTTCACATCAGTTTGCATGTTTTCTCTTAAGATAATAGTAATAATTTTAAAGTCTTTCATTCTTTACATAAGCAGATAAACATCAGAGGTCTTCAAACTTCCTTCTCTCTTGGGAACTAATTTCAAAATGTTCCTATGTTACAATTATGTTTAAATGATTATTTTTTATTCTACCATGATTACAAACTGGCATTCAGCTGAATTACTGGCTAGATATTTCCAAACATTTAACACACGGATCGATTAAAAAGCAATTTTACCCAACAGGTAAAATGCATTGTTTCTTTGTAGATGTTCTCACCTGTGAGTATTGACATTCCATTACCATCACCTGAAAAACAAGCACACTCTTGTAATAGTGAGCTCTGCTCCCTTTAGGTGAGATTTTGGGAGAGCCTGAACTTTCAGCTATCAGGCCTGAACCTGCATTCTTTATGCAGCCAAAAGTTCAAATCAATGAGGGGTGTCGAAGGAGT